ATGCTGCTGTAAGATTCATCACTGGAAAACTTTTGCAGCTGTGTGTGCTTTTGGGAAAGGACCTGACCTGAGCCTTGCCCAGCTGGCTTGCTGTGGCAGTCCCCAATTAGGGGTCACCCTCCCCTCATCTGGCTCGCCTGGCTCATGAGGGAGCTGACCCCCTTTTCACCCAGTGCCAGCTTTTTCCAGTACTGCTGCATGTGCCGGTCCACATGCAAGAGCAGCGTTAGCAGAAATCCACTTCTGCAAAATCTGAGGGGTTTCCACTGCCACAGCTGCAGCAGAAAATCCTCTGCACCTCACCTGTGAGGGCTTTTAGGCACTAGAAATTATTGATAGCCCACAATAGCAGATGTTTCTCCTCTAAGCACAACATGTACCTGAATAAACAACCACCAATACTCGCCTGGCCATGGCCCCACAATTAGTATTTCTAAGGAAAACTGGGATTTTTAGGGACAACTTATTTCTGCTTCTGTACCCCCAGAAAGTACTCTAGCATGCATGTCACTCTCCACTTGGGTGCACTCACTTAGAGGGTGGGATGAGAGACCCTAAAGCACTTCAGCAACAGTCTCTGCTGTCCCCACATGAAGAATTGTCTGTTGATAAATCACTGCTGCCTTTCAGTAAAAAACCCAGACCAACACATGGGAACAGGAAGTAAATGCATATATATTAAAGGTCTAAATCAAAGTTTTCCCAAAAAATATACAGCTCAGCAGAGCCAAAGACCAAAGACCCACAGAGGAACACCTCCCAGACCTGCTGGCCACCTCTAGCCGAGCTGTAAGCTTACTGTGGGTGCCAGGGTGTGAGACACAGCAATGAGCCTCCCTGCTCATCAGCCCAGCCTTCACTGAAAGGAAAAATCACCTGCCCGCTTTGCTCCAATGCTCCAGGAAAACCCTTTCCTCAGGGAACTTGCAGTTTGTCCATTCAGTGGCTGCTTGTGCTATTTGGCAAGTGAGTTTTGGAAGAGCAGAGCCAGGCAGCTCAGTGGTGGTGAGGAGGGTGCTAAGGGTGAGCATCCCAAAATGCCATGTGCCCCAGGATGTAGAGCTAGAATCACCACACAAAAATTCCAGGTGCTTTAAAAGCAGCTGTGCAAGGAGGTAGCGCTGTTTTATAAATGTATGCCATTTGTACCTGAACTAGCTAGTTTTATACCTGACCTCGCCGTTTGGGCAGAATTCCCTGGGACCTCAGGGAAGCAGAGGGGTGGGAGGGCAGCAGTCCCTGTCCCAGCATCATTCAACAGGCGCAAAACATTCCCAGCAAAAGGCTTTTTATTCCACTAGATGGTGCCCAGGCCTTGCTTATGGATGTTGTTTAACAGCGTGGCCAAGGATTCGGTCAGGACTGGGGATGGAGGTGGCTGGGCACCACGCTGTTGTCCCCATGGGACTGCAAGCCCTCCAGTCCCAGCACTGCCAGCAGCGAGACCCCAAAACCAACCCCCTCATTTGCCAGGCAACAGCATACACTGAGCCTGAGCTCCCTGGAACATCACCGTAGACCATCAGACTTGGGCTGTGACATGCCATGGCAATGCTGGGTGTGAGTTGCCCAGCCCAGGCTGCCAGCAGCCCTGTGGCCCCTTTCGCTCTGAGCCAGGGGGGCTGGCACAGGAGGTCTCTGAGCTTTTGGGGGTCTTGTGGATGCTGCCCCACACCTAGGAAGCTGCAGACAACCCCCTGCCCAGGCTGCTTAAATCTCCATGTCCCTGCAGCACTGGTACCAGGCTGCCTGGTGTGGCTCCCCTGGGGGCACTGGGGCCTGATGCCCTGGCGTGGGACATTGTGGGCACATGCAGTTTTTGATCCTTTCCACTGGAGAGCATGAGCTCTAGCAAGGCAGAGCCCCAACAGCTGGTGCTACTGATAGCACCAGTGAGATATGCAGTGTTATCCTCATCCTGGTGGTCCCAGCATCAATCACCCACACACGATCCCCAAGCGCCAAGTCTATGGCCCGAAATGGGACTTGCCCCTTCCTCGCGTGTGGCCACACACAGGGTGGGGGAGCAGGTGCCCTGGGGGTACATTGCTGCCCATCGTAGCTGCTCCCCCCCCATCTCCCCACACGGGCGCAGTGCCAGCGGGGAGTCCCATCCTGCGTGTGCTGAGGGTGGCACCTCTCCCCGCCAGGCCTGACGCCGCTCCCACCGTGCCGTTTGCTCTGGCGCACTGCCAAGCGCACCCATTTTAGCAGCTTCTCGGACAGAAAAAGCAGCCTGCAATTGCATAAACAGTGATTAACTTTGGGCACCAGCGGCGGCACGGCTCCAGCGTGTCGAAGCCCAGCCTGGCTCACGTGTGGGGGCCAGTGGTGGGAATGGCGGCAGCGCAGCTGAGGTGTTATGGGTGCTGCTGGAAGTCGGTGGGGTCAGCAAGCACCCTGGCAGTGTGCTGGAGGGCACAACGTGGACTTCTCACTGCAGGAGATGGACAAACCGAGGGGGCAGATGCTCTGTGGGGCTCCCCAGCAAGGACACACTGCCTGGGGAGGCAGGTGGCCCTGGGCAGGAGCCAGTGGGGTTTGGTGTCCCAAGGGAGGGATGTGTGGGGCCAGCTGGCCAAACTGCAGCCCCAGAGGTGGTGGCTGGGCCAGGGATTCTCTGGGGCCAGAACCCCCACTGATCCCAGGGACCAGCCCCCCCGCTGCATGCTGCTTGCAGCAAAGCAGCTGCCCAAAGTCCCCCTGCAAACACCAAAGTCAGCAGAGCCCTAGGTACAGAAATGCCTTTATTTCTCCATTAGGCTGGAAGTGAAATCGCGAGGACAGAGGCTTCTTCTCTCACCGTATATTTAATCGCTTCGCATCAGTGCAGGAACAACGCCAGCCTATGCCGTGTAGCACAACTGCTGTTACATGGCTGTCTAGACCAGCAAA